TGCACACATATATTCGTTGCATTTTGCGTATTGTAATCTTCAATAATAAATCTGAATTGGTGCACAAAAATTTTAATCAGAATGAAAAAAATTACTCTCTCCATCAGTGAAAGAAAAAGAACGCTTAGAATATTTATAATGCAGAATGAAAACCCTCGAATCCTTGAAAACGTTTCCACCGACAATTGATTTAATTTGAAATCCATTGGGCCAACGTTTACAGATTAATTAAAGGGACTAACATCTGATTGTCGGATCAAGCAGGAGGGGACACACGCTAAAGATAAAGAGGTAGGTTAATTAGTCGGCCGCGCGGGGGGTCGTGCGCCTTCTTCTATCTGCTCGCCAAGGAGTACGAGGATAAAGAAAGGAAATATCGTGATCCGCGTATCGTCCGTGAGTTGTCGGACGCCAAGCGGCTTAAAGCATCTATTCTCCCTGGGCCCGCACAGTAATGTAATTCGAGAGTAAAACCGATATTCGAAACCAAAATATGGGAATTGTCGTATCGAGATTAATAATACCCGATGATATCATGTTGATCAAGTGCACATACTCGATTTCCTCGATAATTATCGTTATATTATTTTGTCGATCATATTATTGAGTGTACAAATTGAATTTCAGTAGAATGGATCACGAGACTTCGCGGAAGGCTCGTGACCTCGGAAAGACGTTCAAGGGTCCACGAGTCTAAACATATACACATAACACGAGACCAGCTGAGTGTTCAAAATACGATCGTTGTAAATATATTGCCGAAGACTGTTTTGTGGGGAGGGGGAGAAAAAAGAAATATATGAAAGTAAAATAATAAGAGGAGAGCGAGGGCTCGAGGCGAGACAGGGTTAATTGCATCGGAGATTTCAGGTCGTACAAGGGAGTTGAGCTCAAAAATCGTGGTGAAGACTCGTGAATCTAGCGTGCGCAGTGGTCTCTCTCTCGGAGAGGTAGGAGAGTCGAAGACGAAGGGAACGGCACGAAAACCCAACGATGTGTGGCGCATGCGCCGCACATGTAGTTGCTATTTTATCTGTTTTTTTATTTTCTTCTTTAAACGAAGAATTTGTTATAACGGATCTTGTTCGGGAAATTAGTTGACGGTTCGAATTAATAGGAAATTAATGTGTGGTCGTTCAGCTGTGAAGATTGATGATTATTTTGAGAAATTTTAAATGATGAATTGTTGAGTCAGTTGGAGATAAATTCATCAACTCAAGTAAATATTCTTGTTACTATAAGTCGTGGAATTTTATTGAGAATGAAACGTAAAATTACTCATAAAATTTATTTGTTTCTAATGAAACTGCAGTACATTTCCTGAAGCAGCATTCCATCACGTGATATTTCAATGGTGTTCCCATAAAAAGAACCCAAGATTTATCACCATCTACAATTTCAGCTCAACTATCCTAATGTAAATACGCTGATGAACGCTAAAAGTTGAAAGTCTCAGCGGCGGCAAATTGGAGTAGTATTTGGCGGGATGTGAGCCCTTTTAGCGTGCCTGATTGCAGTAATCCGAGTGGCTGCACTGTTAATTGCAGCACTTCTGACTTTCCAGAAGCTGCAATGCCACTTCCACTAGGTCGATTACGTAATCGTCAGTTCCTCCATCAAAACAAATACCCATGACATTACCATGGACACCCTAATGGTCGTATTCCCGCAACACTTGAAAACCCTCCATTATAATAACAAAATTCTTCAACGAGTGCTAGGAGAAATCTACTTTTCTCTTACTTTTGTTCACGACTGTACTACACTATTACAGTATGATACCTTCGCTTGTCACGTCCACGAGAAAGAAGCCAATTGCGAAAGTGTGCTGTTGCAAAATGCACCAACGCGCACCGAGACTAGGCCTAGGTTGTACGTTACATATATGTATACTTCACTTCGCCCCACAGTGCATGTTTTCCTGCACCGAGGCCACGATCACGTCCGCAATTGCATTGACGCTAATGCAATAATCAGGAGTACTTCATAACTTGTACTTTCAGTTTAACAATAATTACGTCAGGATGAATGCATTGATAAAATTGAGAAATCATTTCAATACTTTGAACAGTATAATACAAGATTTAATAGTCGAAATCAATTTGCTGGCTATATACTATATAGCAGTGAAGAAATTTCCTCTCATGATCATTTGCGTTGGAAATGTTGTTTTTCTTTATCGATCTTATGCCGATGGAAATGGTGTGTTTCACTCTATACCCTAGGTGTTGCAAAATAGTCGTCTAATGGGATCGACTCGCCGTTAGTTCAGCCGAGCGAGTGAATAGTTTTCTTATTACCTGTACGAGAATAGAAATACCCGCAAACCATGACTCTCCCTATGATCTTACCGCGCATTGCCTACGCATTTAGTATTATATTTGTGCTTGCACTTGGAATAAGGATATTATCAATGCAAAATATACCCACGAGAAATCATAAAATTTAAGGAGACTGAGTCATTTGAGTCTAAAAACACTTTCACTTGATAATGACTGATTGCTAGTTTTTTTTTTTGGTTGGAGATCAAGTCGAGTTGAAGCATTGCAATTAGTGAGAAAAAAAAATCCTCCAGGTGGTTTTGAACGAGTTTCCTACATGTGTTTGGCACGAGCGGTGATTTACCGTGTTTTAATAAGCATGCCATATGCGAATGAGAAAAACTTGTTGCACAAATCCAGATATACTTGGTTTTGAGTTTAGATCGGCTAAACCAGTTGTAGTGCAATGAAGATTATGTACCTATATAGAGGATGGATTTGTCGGATAGGTAGGTCCAAACGTAAATGTACGGAGAGGTATTGATCCAACCGGTACGGCTGTGCACAAGAGGGAGAGAGACTGAAAGGGCCCATTGCATTCGAGCTGACGTTTTGCGGTGTCGGGCCACACCGGAAATTGACAAACCGCCTGTAGGCCTGTTCCCTTCGCGCCTCCCCCCCCCCCTCTCCTCTCTGCCCGCAACTTTTCCCCATTTTCCAGTTTCTCCCTCGATCCTCTCGAATGAAATTTCTCATTGGGGGAAAAAAATTATTATCACTAAAATGACGTAAAAAAATGGCAAGTGGTAATTTGCCAGAGATTAAGCGGAAAATTTCTTCACATTGTGACGGAATCTTAATGTTATCCGTTTGTCATCATCTCCACGTTCAGACATTATCAAAATTCCAAAGTCTGTAACCTCATACTGGCATCGTATACCACAACTGGTGACTCAAATATAAGTGCTTACTGCCACAACACTCACTCTTCTTTACTTCTCCCCCACTATATGCTGAAAAGATGCAGTAGTTGAATTTATCTCTGGAGTTGAGTGCCTTGGGCTTTCTAAAACACTGCTTACGACATCGCTGTGGAGGCTCGCGGTCGACCAAATAATCCAACGGCAAAGTGCGCATGGGAAAAACTTCCTCCAACGTTTTTCCCTTCTAATACAACTCTACATAGCGCCTAGACGTGCGCTCTTTGGTGGATGTTTAGTCGACCAACGCCTACATCAACGCTCCCATAAACAACACCGATCACTGGCTGATCAATTTTTCCTCATGCTGCGTTAATTAATAATTAATTTTTTATGTGATTCAAGCAGATACTAAGCGGCCAGTTTATTACAACCGCACGTTAGTTGCATGATGCACATCAGACGCAAAATAAATAATCGGTTAATCATAAGAGCAATCGAAAGTGTGTGAAACCGGTGAAACCGGCAACCTTTACCTTCTACCGTGGACCGGGCCACTTCTCCTCTCCCCCACCCCCCTCGCTCGAGTTCACCAATCGTTTCATTCACGAATTTCACATTCACGGCCACGGCCACGCGACGATACTTTAGGTTGCTGCGTTCGCATATTACGTATAAACTACAGTGTATAACTACTGCACGCGCGGACCACACCTGCTAGTAGATCAACAGAGCAAAAAAATTATGTGGGAATTGCAGATAAAAAAAACGAGAATCCAATATTCATAAATATGGAGAATTCAATTGGAGAATTTAATGTGGACAAATTATGGAGAATATCGATGCATTAATCATCCAGGCAAACATGCATTTTTTTCTAAATTTGTCACTAAGCAAGGAGTGAATAACTTTTCACTGAATGCTAAAAAGACCATTCAATGCATTTGACAACTAGAAAATGAACCTCGCTCACTCATGATTACCGAGGTGACACCATAACGCATATTACATAAGTTCATCGTGACAAAAAAAAAGTTAAACGATGTGATATCTTCGGTTGAAATACCGCAAGATTTCCAGTAAAGCTTTACTCACACCCGAGAAAAGCCTGATTCAAACAGCAGAATAAATGCTCATTTCTCACCCTTTTACAAAAGGAAAAAAAAACATTTATCAGTAATGGAATTGCCTAATGAAACAGAGAGGAAAACGGGAATTCATCGAATATGCCGTTTCCACGGTTTCCGACGCCCTCAAAAACTCGAACATTGGCTCCTCTGGCACACGGTTCGTTTTGTGCGAGTATCGAACTCTGCCTCTATCCCATCTCTCTGTTGGATCCCAACAACTCCCTCATTTTGTCCTTCTCCGTCACTTCTTCGGGTTGTACAAGGGACACGAGTGCGAGGGACGGCAGTGAGTGCAAGCATCGAGGCGCAAGCGTATTTGTGTATGTAGGTGCACAAGCGACAAGCCTACTGCACGCATTCGTGTACCATCCGTCGTTCAACTACGCGGTGCAACGACCCCGATGGTGCTTTAGTTGGGCTGCTTTTATTCTCTTCATTTTTCCGAGATTCTGAGAGTCTATTCTCCGCCAAATTATCAAAAACCATACCACTGGAGCGAAAGAGATTGAAAGACTTCACCGGAAGAATGAAGATATAATGAAATGGAGTTTGTTTTGATGCATGACGTATGCTGACGTCATAAATTCATGATAAAACCTTGTCTCGACTGTAGATGAACTGTGGATTTGGTGGATGAATTGTGGTGAATGAAAAAACAATGAAAAATATGGCAATGTTATTCGACTCACCTGTCGGAGCTCTCGGAGCTGTCGTATCGATCGGCGCACCGCTTCTTGCCGCAGGGTCCAACGAGGGTGTCTTCAGCGGTCCTGATCTGTCCCTTGTAGGGGCTACCTAGCCTGGCAACAAGCTCACTCCCAGTAGCATCGGTAGTGTGCTGCTTGTGCTGTTTTATTTCCTTCATTGTTTCTGGTATAGCAGAAACAGCAACAGCCGCAGCAGCAGCATCAACAACAGTCGCATTCGCGTCTATATCAAGGATATTACGATGCACATCACTGACACATTCATCACCATCACTCTTATTACCAAATTCAACCAATACCACAACCCCCTCGGCTCTATTATCCGGCATTTTTGTCGTACACCTCTCAACCATCAATTTTCTATCACAATCACCATTAGCCAATAATTTTTCATCACCAGTTACCATTTTCGATTGAATTTTGTTAGCCTTAACGTTCACTGGTTTTCCATTCAACAGATAAACGTTCACCAGATCATTGTTATCCCCATACTGCTTGCAATAATCAACATCACACTCATCACTCATCACAACTCCATTGCACCTTATTACATTCTCAATACTATTATCACGACAATTGTCACTGGCACTAGTTTCACTTTTATCATTGCAGCACGATGTGTCAAGGACAAAAGCCTGATGTGATTGGCGATGATGCACGACAAGTGCCGTCAACGGAGACTGATGCTCCACTACGCGCTTTTTGTGTCGTTCACGCGGCACGCGACTCTCGTCGCACAGGTCGGTGGCCGCGACTTCCTCCGCGGGAGACCGCCAGTCTGCCATTTTGATGAGGCCCTATATATTCGCAATTCACTATTTATCTACCCTTATTGTTTCGTTTAATCAATCGTTAATGACAACACACCACCTTATTGATAAATTTTCATTCAAATCAATATTTAGTCTGTATTAACTTATTATTCGTCACGACACAGCAGCACTGTGGAGTGAGCACACCGGGGGCCGTGCCACTAGCACACTCGTTGTGTTTCCTTGCAACGACGCGCTACGTGCCCCTCTGTCGTATCTCCTCCTTCTTTACTATTACTTTTTTTTTCCACACCCCCCACCGACCACGTCACTGTAATTCTCTCTCTGTTACTAGCACACCATGTCCACTCACCACTTCCTTCGCTCACTTGTCGTTCGCTCTCACTCGCTCTCACACTCTCGCTCGTGTTCACAAGTGGAGACACGGGCAAGGCTGCTCCCACCACGAAAGCCTGCGCGCGACTCCGAAGCTGCGCCACTGCCGCGTTCCAGGTGAGCCGAGGGTGGCCGAAGCTTCGCGGAAATTGACGAATATTCACGATTATTGTGTGACGCCGGTGTGTCAACGCGGGGGTCAGAATGTCTCGGATTTTCATTGGACGCTGAGAATTCCGAGCAGCCAATGATCGTCAAGCACCACTGGAATTCGTCAATTACTGATGGATATTTTTGTAGGGAGGCCAGGGAGGCTAAGCCTGCGCACAGCTTCATGAAAACAGACACGACGATTACCAACGCCTCTGAAGGAATTGTGAGGAATATAGAAATTGTAGATCTCCATTTTGGGAACAGTCGGTCACTCAGGTTTTAATACAGCTACATCCTTACTTGTTGCTGATAAAGATGGAGAGTGTTTTTAAAAATAATTGGTGTCGAAGTTTACAGGTACCTTATGTACAACAGTACAAACGGGTGACCCCCACGACCACCACTTTACCATCATCAAATGCCGCAAACTTGACGAAACTAAAAATTCCTTAGCATCTAAAAAAACCGAAAATAAAAAATGTAAAGGGTGCGNGTTACTTCCAGTACTTAATTTGACGACTGTACACCTACAAACTCACACAGACAGCATTCCTCCACTACTGCCATTCAGTAAACCGACCGAAGCGCCACCAATAACTACCTCATGACCCCGACTAGGGTGACCCCCACGACCGCCACTTTACCATCATCAAATGCCGCAAACTTGACAAAACTAAAAATTCCCTAGCATCTAAAAAAAACAAAAATAAAAAATGTAAAGGGTGCAAGTATTTGATTGTAATCTTCTCCACAGCTGGTTACTATTATAACATTTATCATTACACGAGACTATTATATCGTATCTGAGATATCAGTGCTGAGTGATTTATTTGTAATGACTCTAGTTATAAAATCTTCAACTATTACTTGTATATCGTTTGTTGATATGCATATTAAAACGCACAAATGTGATGACCTAGGAAATTCCCAATGAGTGATGTATTATATCATTATTATAAGGAAAATTGCCTCTATTGTTCGTTATAAGGACTGTATTACTAAATTGTCCATGGAAAATTGAGTGAAGATGGAGAGAATGACTAATGTTTTTAGAATTTAATTGATTTTTGATGATGGATAATGTTTGTAGGAATTCATTTCCATATATTAGGATTGTTCCACACAATACTCATAACTCTACAATAATTGAATTCCGAATATTTATTAAATTCCAAACCTCATAACATCTTTACGCAAAATAGTGTATTCAATGAATGATCTGCATTGTTTTCTATCGATGGATACATATTCTCAAGTTTATATAAATCTGAACTAGGGATCATTGAAAATATTGAAAGGTTCGGCATCATAAACGGCGATAGAACTGATGACAATAATATTAAAAAATGTAGCATATCTATAGTCTAACACGCTTTCGGTTCAAGAATTATTTTGTGCGAGCAAATGGAGAAGAAAAAAAATTTCATAGCAACGATAATAGTTTACAATATTACACCTATGGAGAAATCAATGAAAACAGCCTATTGACGTGAATACACTTATTTAAGTGACTTTTGGAAAAAGATTATTTATATGGACAACCAATTTTGTTTTCGCGCAAGAATCAACGAAGACAAAATTTCGTTTTGTCCGAACTGATATTGATTTATCAGTTACCATCTGAGTAAATTACCGACTGTAGAGATATCATCAGCATAGTTCCGCTCGTCGTGCTTTTACCGTGCACTGGCGCGGTGGATTTGAATTATAGCGCGTTAAGGGGAGACTACTATGAAAGTTTCAAAAGTCGCGGGTTATGCCGCTGGGGAAATTTTTCAATAGAACAATATCTATTTTAAACAAGTTAAAAATTGCTCTTGTAGTACATATAGTATAGTTATTTTTGCTAATAAATTACCAATACTCTTCCAAATGGTTATTTTGTACATAATTTTCTTTTATCACGTTTAATTCATTGGGTATCTCATTTTATTAAATTAAATAAGTTTTTTTTAAACTTATTTTGTCCGCTTTTCAACTTGAATCAATGTTATCGTCGTCATTATTCTTCTTATCCCTTTCTTCTGTACAACTGATTCTTTTCTTACGGTTCTATCTCCCCCCTCAGCCCTTCGACACGTTATTAAAAAAATTGTATTTATACATACTTGAATGAATTTGAAACATCACATTGGAAGAAACCATCAGAAAGCTCACTTTCCGGGAAATTCATGAAAAATTCGAAATTTTCAACAATCATGAAAATCAAATCAGCCAATGTAGCTATTGTAATCATCTAGCAACTTCGAATTAATGGCTTTAAAACAAACATTTTAAACTATAATTGAATTCATTTTAAGCATAATATCCAAAGATATACCCGGAATCCTCATTAAAAAAAAAATTTGCAAATTTTCAAATCAATCCAAACAACGATTATGGCTATCGCCTTCATGTGCGAACTCGGTCAAAAGGACATCCAAACAAATTTTTTAAGCTATCATTCAATCAATTATGAACATTTTCGCTTTAGCTACTAAATTGTAATTAACACAGATTGATAGGGCTCAACAAAACCTATATTTGAGGAATAAAAAATTATTCCATCGATTCATTAGCGAATAATCCAAGACAATTTTGCTTACATATGTACGCACATATATACGTACGGACACGGTCAAAAAATTACATTTTCAGAGTTTTTGGATCATAATGGGTTGATATACCACGAAAAATCCAAATTTAAATTTGAACAATTACAATGCTTCCATTCGGCAGCAAATATCATCATTAAAAGGTTGTATAATTTTTAATTAACTTGATGCCAAAAAAATTTTTTTTTCTTTATTGCTTTTTTTCATACATGTAAAATATCAAGTAATTTTCATTTTGCAGAGCATTTGAAGACATTTTAAAATATTTTTCCAGATCTTTTTCAAAAGGATTTGATTTTCAAAATTTTTCAAAATGTGTTTACAATTTTTTGGAAGTGAGTGAGATAATTTTTTAAAGTACAATCGAAATTTCATTTAGTTTTCGCAGTATTCCCTTACATTCCAGTTTTGTTCATTACAATTCCGATAATAACTTGCTTCTCTGCCTCGTATTTATACATGTCGGGTTATTTATTGTAACAATTAAGGTGATAGAAATCTTAGTATTTGTTCTTACACATAGTTTACTTAGAGAGAATTTTATTGTTAATACTTGTACAGGGATAAAAAAAGGTTATAATTTATTTCTATTCTTATATTCTTCCCCCCATTTTTACTTCGCACAAAATCTCCTGATTCTCATACGAGCTGCAACATAAAATGAGAGCATTAATTACAGCAATTGCATTAATTACCGACTATTCATGTAGCATTTTTCACCTGGAGTAGTTTTAACTTTTTAAGCGCCTGCGGGGCAGACGAACAATAAACAATTAAATTTTTTGCACTAATTAAGCGTTTTTAGACATATGTAATCGATCTTCAATGCATGAAAAATCTCATTTCAATAGTCTGCGACTTTTAATACTCATAGTAGTCTTCCCTTAATTTATTGCACTCTCATACGTTAATGAGTTTTTCGGCAGATTAGGATTATTTCGGCGGTAACACCGATAGAGNTTTTTAAGCGCCTGCGGGGCAGACGAACAATAAACAATTAAATTTTTTGCACTAATTAAGCGTTTTTAGACATATGTAATCGATCTTCAATGCATGAAAAATCTCATTTCAATAGTCTGCGACTTTTAATACTCATAGTAGTCTCCCCTTAATTTATTGCACTCTCATACGTTAATGAGTTTTTGGGCAGATTAGGATTTTTTCGGCGGTAACACCGATAGAACCTATGGAGGGAAATCAAATGTTTAATTCTCGGAACCATTATAAAAGGAGGAGCAATTTGAAGCAATGCCCCCACTCTTCAAAAATGAAGTGTGTATCGTTCGACGTTGCTATTAGATTTATCTACCAGCCATTCGTACTGACTGCAAAACCCGCATTCGTTTCTGATACTCACGGAGGGTAATCCACACGGAGATTTATCCATGGGACCTATTAAAATACCTATTACAATAGGTGGATACATCGCTATCGCTTATTAGAGTAAAACGAAAAATTGACTCTGTTTGATTTTTTTTTCTTTCGCCGAAAATTATGTGACGAAGAATGAAGAATCCGTGTCGTTGTAATACACTGAGAAAAATATTCAGTAAAAAATTGCGGATCAATTCACGTAATTCGCAAGGAGGTATCGTTTTCCGGCAATTTTTATAGGAATGAAAGAGAATAAATCTGAAAAGTTCAGTGAATTCTCAAATTCATCACCGAACAAAGTACGAAATTGCCACGTAATTTTACCTGAAAAAGTAAAATCTTACAGAAAGTTCCCGACTTATTATGCCTCCAAAATAAAAAATTCGGCAGCAGGGAAGTTATTTTTACGTTCCGTTCCGCAACATTTGTCAATTGTTGGAGAAAAATTATGGAACGACTTGTTGTCCCCACACCGGTAAATCATCAGACGGGTGGTTAATTATTACGGAACAGATAGTAGAATTTACGTTCCAACTCACACTTTTATAGAATTTGACTTCGCTCGCAGATGACGTTTCGAAATGTTTCGGTTTTTTGCCGGTAATTTTTATTGTATTTTTCTCTCCAAGAATAAGCATCAGTGAGTTATTTTTAAAAATTATATATCTTGATAAATATCATTGTTATGAGAGAAGTGCAAGAGAAGTTTCTTTATTCAAAACAGGTATAAGTATTTGAAAAAAAATCCTGACTCGAAAAAA